TCTGATGTCACTGCCACGGAGCTCAAGAGTGGAGGGTTCAACCCCTAGCGAAGAGACAGAGTAACCCAGCTCGACCGAAGCGACCAATTGCCTAGGGTAAGGACCTAACTCTCGTTTTCTTTTTTTTTTAGTCGAGAGGATAAAACATTAGTTGAGTGGAGCCCAAGGCGAGAACCGGGGGCCTAAGCCAACTCAGAGAAAGGGAACGAGGCTAACAGCGTGTAACCATTACCATACAGGATTTTAGAAAGTGCACAGAAGCTTAGCGTGTGCACTTACCATAGCATGGATTTAGAAACATTTTCTTAACCCGAATAGAGGCAGCTTATCAGGGAAGCAGCAAGCGGCCCAACTACCTGATGTCACTGCCACGGAGCTCAAGAGTGGAGGGTTCAACCCCTAGCGAAGAGACAGAGTAACCCAGCTCGACCGAAGCGACCAATTGCCTAGGGTAAGGACCTAACTCTCGTTTTCTTTTTTTTTTAGTCGAGAGGATAAATCACCCAGTCTGCCCAGGACCGGCGAGCTCAAATGGGACCTCCCGCAGTGAGGGGAGCACAGCCATGTCTGGGGGCAGATAGATCGCAAATGGGACATCAGAAATGGGATCCTGCTAGAAGGGAATCACAGATTTCTAAGGGAACTGCATAAAGGCATCCCAACATAAAGGCAACTGACCAAGGAGGTGACAGAGATGGGCCTAACACTTAGTTCGTTGCAAATGGGGTTCTTCGGGAGCAGTACTCTCAGCTCTCAAGCTGAGGCGGGCCCTTACAGCACATACTGGGAGCGACTCACAGCTAACCCTCACAGAGAGGGGAGCACTTCTCAGCTCGACCAGAAGGGGGTGCTAGATTAGAAGGGGTAACCTAGCAGGGCCCAATAAGAGACAGTCCACTGGAGCAGCTGGACACTGTCTCATGCTCTCTATCTCGATAGAGAGCGTAGGTCCCGTATAACCAGACCCAATAGAATCTGAAGAAATAGCGGGACCCAATAACCATTCATGCGTATAAAGCTTACTGCTCCTCAGAGCAGAAAGCACAAAAGAGGGGTTTCCACAGAAACACAAATCCCTCTTACCTCAGAGAACGCAGTGTACTCCAGCCCACTCCGCAGAGGGGTGATGATTCAACTGTTTTAAAAATTGATAATAATAATAATTAAAAAAGGTTCCTTGAGCAGCAAATCAGCATAAAAGAATGATCACATACGGCTTTGATCACAGCAATAAATTACATTTTAAAATATATTGAAATACAAAACCGTTATTTTAAATAGTAAAAAAATATTTCACAACATTACTGCTTTTGCTGTACTTTGGATCAAATAAATGCAGGCTTGGTGAACAGAAGAGACTTC